TACTTCTGAATACTCCTCCTGTAGATGGACAAGCCCGACTCAACCCGAGACCTCTGCGAGCCCGCGGGCCTGGAGGCCACGTCTCTCGGACGGCGCGACCGCTCCAGGGCGCCCCCCCCCCCGAGAGTTCTGCGAGAGAGCGCCGTCGGGGAGCGCTCTGGGCTTAGCTGCCCCGATGCGCAACACGCAAAGCGTACCGCATCGATGCGGAACTCAACACGTAGGCTGAAAACGTAGGTCCGACGCGATGTGTTCGCCCAAACGTGGTCCAATACGTGGAGCCAACACGCAACGTATTGACACGGACGTCTTGAACACGGGACGTGTTGCGTTTCAAAACGCGCGTATCGAGGCAACTCAGGCTCAGCGACTCCTCCCTGCCCTCGGCCTTCTCCCGACCCAGATCTGCAGCGCAGGCCTGCGAAAAAGGGGGTCCGAGCACAGCCAACCCGTACAGCAAGGATGCGCAAGGAGGATGCAAAAGGGCCTTGGACGCCCATTCCGAAGCCTTGTCGAGCGGGGCGCGGCCCGCGAACGTGGTCCAGGAGGGACCGAGGAGGCAAGAATTCAAGGCTATCCTTGGGAAGGCTGCCCATCCTCCCTATGCGGGTTGACTCTGATTAGCTGGGTTTGGATGATCGCACCCGTACTCGGAAGCTGGGCGAGGGCTGGCAAATCCGTGGCCGCCAAAACGGTCTTCCCAAAAGAAAGAAGGCAAACTCCCGGAATAACGCTCAGCGCGCTACAAGTAACAAATAAACGGGCTGCTCCCCAGAAGGGAGAACAAACATTCCCGGCGCTCCTTTTTGGCAGCCACGGGCTTGCCAGCCTTCGCCTGGCTTCTGAGGAACTAGGGGCCTCCTAGATGGGGTCTGAGTAGATGGGGTCGGAGGATCGCGCCGCATCGCCGATACATCGCCGATGCATCGGCGATGCATTGGCGATGCATCGGCGATGCACCGGCGATGCATCGGTCTTCCCAAAAGAAAGAAGGCAAACTCCCGGAATAACGCTCAGCGCGCTACAAGTAACAAATAAACGGGCTGCTCCCCAGAAGGGAGAACAAACATTCCCGGCGCTCCTTTTTGGCAGCCACGGGCTTGCCAGCCTTCGCCTGGCTTCTGAGGAACTAGGGGCCTCCTAGATGGGGTCTGAGTAGATGGGGTCGGAGGATCGCGCCGCATCGCCGATACATCGCCGATGCATCGGCGATGCATTGGCGATGCATCGGCGATGCACCGGCGATGCATCATCGACATGGGCGATGCATCGGCGCCGTCGACGTGAAGCAAATCGGGCCCCACATCGAGCCGCATCGGCGATGCATCGGCGATGCGGCGCTATCCTCCGAGCCCATCTACTCCAGCCCCATCTAAGAGGCCTAGAGGTACGGCGATGCATCGGCAGTGCGTCGGCGACGCGGCGGCGTCGGGACGGCGAGAGTCGGGCTCATGACCGCGCCGCAACTCGGCGGTGCGGCCCGCTTCTCTCCGGCCCCGAACTGCTCGACAGCACCCCCCCAAGGGGGCGCGATGCGCCAGGCAGCCCCGCTCCTCCCTCCTTCCTTCTCCTCCTCCCTCCTCCCTCCTCCCTCCTCCTCCTCCTCCTCCTCCTCCTCCTCCTCCTCCACCACCTCCTCCTCCTCCTCCTCCCCTCTCCTCCTCTCCTCCCACTCCTCCTTCCTCCCCTCCTCCTCCGCCTCCCTCCTCCTCCTCCTACCACCTCCTCCTCCTCCTCCTCCTCCTCATCCCTCCTCCTCCTCCTCCCCTCCTCCTCCTCCATCCCCTCCTCCACCTCCTCCTCCTCCTCCTCCTCCTCCTCCCACCTCCTCCCCTTGCTCTCCGCCTCCTCCTCCTCACTCCTTCTCCTCTCCTCCTCCCCTCCTCCTCCCCTCCACCCCTCCTCCTCCTCCTCACATCCTCCTCCTCCTCCTCCTCCTCCTCCTCCTCCTCCTCCTCCTCCTCTCCCCCTCCTCCACCTCCTCCTCCTCTCCATCCTCCTCCTCCTCCTCTCCACCACCTCCTCCTCCTGCCCTCCTCCTCCTCCTCCTCCTTCCTCCTCCTCCTCCTCCTCCTCCTCCTCCTCCTCCTCCTCTCCTACCTCCTCCTCCTCCTCCTCCTCCCCTCCTCCTCACTCCTACCTCACTCCTCCTCCTCACTCCTCCCCTCCTCCTCCTCCTTCTCCTACCTCCTCTTCTTCTTCTTCTTCTTCTTCTTATTCTTCGTCTTCTTCTTCTTATTGGTAGTATTCTTCTTTTTAGTATTCGTATTAGTCTTCTTCTTCTTAGTATTATTATTCTTATTCGTCTTATTCTTCTTCTTATTATTATTATTCCTCTTATTATTCTTATGATTATTCTTCTCCTCTCCTCCTCCTCCACCTCCTGCTTCCTCCTCCTCCTCCTACCTCCTCCTCCTCCTCCTCCTCCTCCTCACCCACCTTCCTCCTACCTCCTCCCTCCTCCCTCCTCCTCCTCCTCCTCCTCCTCCTCCTCCTCCTCCCTCCTCCTCCTCCTCCTCCCCACCTCCTCTCACGTCTCCTCCTACTCACTCCTCCTCCTCCTCCTCCTCCTCCCTCCACCTCCTCCTCACACCTCCTCCGACCTCTCCTCCTCCTCCTCCTTCCTCCTCCTCTCCTCCTCCTCCTCCTCTCCTCCTCACTCCTCCTCCTCCTCCTCCTCCTCCTCCCCTCCTCCTCCTCCGCCTCCTCCTCCTCCCACCTCCTCTCCTCCTCCTCACATCCTCCTCCTCCTCCTCCTCCTCCTCCTCCTCCTCCTCCTCCACTTCCCTTCCTCTTACCTCTTCCTCTTCCCCTCTTCCTCCTCCTCCTCCGTCCTCCTCTCTCTCCTCCTCCTCCTCCTCCTCCTCCTCTTCCTCCTCCTCCTCCTCCACCTCCTCCGCCTCCTCCTCCTCCTCCTCCTCCTCACATCCTCGCTCCTCCTCCTCCACACTATCCTCCTCCTACCTCCTCCTCCTCCTCTTCTTCTTCTCCACCTCCTCCTCCTCCTCCTCCTCCTCCTCCTCCTCCTCCTTCTCTTGGAGGGGGGGAAAAGCAACCCCTGGCCCTCGCAGACAGAGCGCTGAAGCGCCCTGTTCCCATGGTGCCCGCGCCTCCGCGCGGCACCGCGGCCTCCGAGAGAAGCACCTGTCTCCGCAACCCTCTGGCAAACTGACTTGCTCAATCCGGGCGTCTATTCCGACCTCAGTGTGGCCGTTTTCGGTGGCCTGGGATCGTCGTCGTCGTGGTCGTCGTCGTCGTCGTCGTCGTCGTCGTCGTCGTCGTCGTCGTCGTCGTCATCTGCGTCGTCGTCGTCGTGGTCGTCGTCGTCGTCGTGGTCGTCGTCGTCTTCGTCGTCGTTGCGGTCGTCGTCGTCGCGGCGAGGAGCTCCCGCAGCTGCCCCTCGGGAGGGGGGCGAGCGCCCCGAAGTGGCGCCCGCGGGCGGGCAGGTCACAGCGCCAGGGGGTGTCTGCTTCGAGCTGCTGCGCCCGCGGGTGCCTCCGCCCGCGGGCTCCGCCGCAGCAGAGCCCCATGCTTACGTCGGACATGTCCTCCGACAGGTGGATTGTGGACGAAAGTTAAAATATAGCCCAGCAAAAACTACACAAACGTATTCAACAATTTTAAGAATCGTCCCCAGGCTATGTTTTCACTGTGTTTGAATATTCCTCCTGTAGAGGGACGGGCCCGACTTAGCCCTATGCCCAGACGTCGTGTGTGTCGGGGACAATGCTTCGAGTTGGGGATCGACTACAGAATCGATGTACTCCAAAATTGGTTGCCAGTCGAATCTACGAAGCACGCCTACAATGCTACATTTAACCTGCTGGCTAGTCTGCGTATGCCTCTCGTGGGTTCAACGAGGAAGCCAAGTTTGGCGTAAATCAGCTCTCTAGTCGAATCCTTGCTCTGATGTTGGAGGCTTGGAAATGGACACCAACCCCAACACAAGGAGTTGCCTCAACCGGGGGAAGGTGGTCCTAGACTTCGGTGTCGGTGTGGCAACCTGTCGGTCACCCAGGAAGCCCGACCCTTTTTCCACCATCGCCGAGATCGCGATCATCTGCCCTCGGTCGAGGCATACCTAGAGGAACAAAAAACGGCAAAAACATAAACTTTCGACGGTCCGCGCGGATTTCTTGGATCCGCGCTGGGCCCCCCTCCCTGGCGCGCGGAGCGCGCCAGGGGCGGCGCCGGATGCGCCGCCAGGGGGTCCCAGCGCAGATCCAAGAAGTCCGCGCAGATCTCCGAAATACTCATGTTTCGGGGATGGACAGACACCCCTTTGGTAAAACGTGGTTTAGTGAGAACGACCTGAGGCCCAAAGCTGGCGGGCGCAAGCCTGGAAAATAACGGCCAAGGCGCCCTCTCGAGAACCGAAAACGGACAATTCACTAATCGACGTGTCACTGTTGGGGGTTCTGTCCACCCCCGAATGTTTGGGTCGTTCCTTGTGATTCGAGCACCGCCCGTATGCGGTGTTGGTGTGAACCTCCGGGCCTCCGACAGTGGCGCCCGTGGCTCTGTACGTGCACGAGCTTCGGGGCCCTCGCCCACTTCGGGGGCGGCCAAGAGGGGGGCGTCCAAGAGGGGGGGGTGCAAATCGTGACCGGCGGCATGTGCGCGGCCGAAGGGGGGGGGCTGGGGACGTAATGAAATATAAAAATAGGCGCCATGAAGTCTGAGGAATTATCATGACCCCAGACCCCCGACGTCATGAATTTTTCATGACGTCGACCCCCAGCGGTCTGGACCCATTCCCCAGGACCGGTTTTTCGTCCCGAGTCGTTTTTTGACGCTCCCGAGGGCCGGTAAGGGCCACCGGAGGCCGAAAATCATGAAAAACCTCCCGTCGTGATTTTTTCATGACTCGAGGGGGTCTGGGACCCACGCCATGATATCCCCCCCCCCCCAGTCATCACCCCCCTCTTTGCCGACCCCGACCGCTGCTGCCTGCGGAGCTGCGCCGTGCCGCGGGGTGCGCGGCCGGGCCGCCGCTGGCACTAGACCACGGCCTCGGGCGGCGCCCGCGGCCTGAGCAGCAGGTGCGGCCTGCTCTCCGCGAGGTGGAAGATGAGCTGGCCGAACAGCGAGTTGGCCCACGAGAACCAGGGCCGGGTGAAGGCGGTGGCGTCGTCCTCGACGGAAGCCCCAAAAAGGTCCGACGCTCCGAACAACTTGGAGCGGGCGGTTCTTGCCTGTTTTCGGCCTCCGGGGGCCCTCGCCGGGCCTCGGGGGCGTCCCAGAACGGCCCAGGACGAACAACCGGCCCTAGGGAAGTGGTCGGGACCTCCGGGGCCCACGCATCGGACAAAAATAGTGAGCAGCCAGATGTCTGAGGATCAAGAAAGTGCATTGACATAAACTTTTGGAGCTCCGCGCGGAGCTCGTCGATCAGCGCTGGGCCCCCCTGGCGGCGCCTCCCGCGCCTGCCCTGGCGCGCTGGGGAGGCCCAGCGGTTACGTTGATGCAGCTGTTTCGTCTTCGATCCTTGTCGAAGCTCTCGTGCATGAACCACCGCGAGGCGGTGGTGGACCTCAGCACCGACAGGCAGGCGCGGATCTCGTCGTCGTCCTGCGAGGTCAGGGCCTGCATGATGACCGACATCGGCCAGATCTTGCCCGGCCCCGTGTGCGGGCTGCCCACCCCCTGGCCCGCCGCGCCCTGGAAGTAGAACGGGTTCGTGGCCGCACTGAGGACGATGCGCCTGGTGGACTGGTACGTCGTGTCGTTCACGGGCACGAACCTTGCAGCGCCAGCGGGGGGGTCACCACTGGGGGGGAGAGGCGGTCACCTCCTCCAGAGGACCGAAGATCGAAGAGGAAGGAGGATCGATCAGTCGTTTTCCGCGCCTTCGGGGCGTCTCGGGCGCTTCTGTGGGGGGGCCATGGGTAGTCCCTCCTCAGGAGGAGGTGGCGACTCCTCCAGTGGTGATCCCCCTTTGGCTTTGCCTGGACGGACCCCAAATACGGCAGACTCAGCAGGGACGGCACGTTTGCGTCGTCCATGTGGAAGGCGTTGCCGAAGCCGTCCACCTCGTAGGCGTAGACCGCCTCCCCCGTCCGGCGGTGCACGACGACCGCCTCGCGCCGTATGCCGTCCTCGATCTCGGCAGCCAGATCCTCCGGCTTGGTGTGGGAGGAGAAGGAGGAGGAGGAGGAGGAGGAGGAGGAGGAGGAGGAGGAGGAGGAGGAGGAGGAGGGAGAGGAGGCAGAAGAAGGGGAGGCAGGGCAGGGGGAGGATGTGGGGGCGGGACAATTCGGAGGGGGAGATGAGACGGAGGAGTGAGGAGGCGGAGGAGGCGAAGGATGATCATGATGATGAGTATGAGGAGGAGGCGCATGCGAATGAGGAAGGGGAGCATGGGGAGGAAAAAGGAAAGGGTGGTGTGTGGGCCATACTCATCCTCTTACCCCTCCTCTTCCTACTCCACCCATGCTCCATCCTCCTCTCCCACTCCTCCTCCTCCTCCTCCTCCTCCTCCTTCCTCGTCCTCCTCCTCCTCCTCCTCCTCCTCCTCCTCCTCCTCCTCCTCCTCCTCTCTCATCATCCTCCTGCTCCGCTAATTGGACACCAAAACGTGTCCACCCTCCCCGCTTTCAAGATGCCGGGAAGTCTCTGGAAACCCAACTCGAAACCGTCGGCATGTGTCCCCAGCGGGGTTCACGCACACCGAATTCATCGACGAGACTTATGGTGCGGCTGCCTTGGACAGCCCCCTCACTGAGAAACTCTGTGCGACGCGCGCCCGAGTGCTCCAGGGAGTGCTTTTCGAGTGTTTTTCTGGTTTTTTGATGTTTCAAACTGTCGGCCCAAAAAACTGAAGTTGGAGTGGTTTTTGAAAATCGCCAGTGGTTGCTTCGCACTCGGAAGGGGCTACGGTCGAGATAAAACTGGCCTACCGACCAATGATACACACTGGTGTTGCCATATGATGCCCCACGACAATCGGCGTAGAATTCCCAAGCCAATGTTTGCAACGGGCCTGTGTGCCACACCCGACCTTTCCGCAATCGAATTGTTGCGTGGGCAATATCCTCGGCGTCGTTCTCCTGAATTATATTATTGTCCTGTCTTTCTGCCCCAGGGAACCCTCATCCCCGAACCCCCACGTCCCCCCTTTCGATGTCCTCCTCCACCCATTTTTCACCAACTCCACCGCCCCCTCACCATGCCCACACTTCGCCAGCATCGTCCCTACAACATCCCTCGTCTGTCCATGATCTTCCTTTTTGAGTTCCCGTCTCGTCACCTTCGGCGCGAGAGAAGGCCCCAAAGTCGCCCCGAGGTACATTTGCAGTAATCCCCCACATGGCCTTGTCCGATTACCAGTCCAGATGGTCACATGTTTGATTCGCAATCAGCGTTGCCCAAAGGCCCCAAAAGAGCTAACAGCCTCCTCCTCCTCCGCCCTGGGCCATCCTTCCGTAGCCATTTTGGCTCAAATATGTTTCACTCCAGCTTCATCTCGCACCGACACCATCATGGACGATCCTCGGGACGATGCAGTTGCAGAGATGGAAGCTGGAACTACCAGCGGTGACCACGACGGGGCGTGGGATCGCTACTTTGGCGAAGGCCCGCACCATTACTTTAGACACGCAGATGCACCAGCGACCTCTGATGCCGTACAGGGAGGCGGCAGCAGCCAGCAACAGCCGCAACACCCACACGATCACGAAAGCCAGCCCAGAAAACGACAACGGATGTGCTCGGTATTGAAGCAGGCTCTTGTTGAGCTCGGCGCGCCACCACCACCGCCAATCACAACTCGGGCACAACCGTGCAGCGGGCTCGTGAGATCAAGCGACAAAAAGCTGAACAGCGACGCAGGGCAGAACAACCAGAGGGCTGCCAGGTAGTAGCATTACCAGACCTGCCCAGAGCCAAGACGAACCCGATCCCTAGAGCCAGCCTTCCCATCGTACGCGCTGTTAGGCGTACGACTGATCGGCATGATGATCAGCGGCCGCTCCAACCTCTCGTGCGAGAAGCTGAGGACGCACAGCAACGCGTCCACGCAAAGACCGACGAAGAGATGAACGCACTAGCCCGACATGTTCTGGCTCGTGGTGGTGGCGCTAGCAAGTTCAAGACAGGCACCGAGCTATGCATGGCCGACTCCCTACACGTCGACCGTCGCAAGATCGAGCCGGAGTTGTGCCAGCTGGCTTCGATGATCATCCACAGAGATCGGTCGCAGAGGTACGAGCTAGAATCGAGCCTCGCAAATTCTGGGTGCAGGCTGATCTTGTACGTCGACTACACAATGACTGATGAGACCCCGCTGAAACTAGGGATGGAGGACAAACCAGCCACGACTCCTGCTGATCCAACGCCTCGAACTCTATCGACTGACCTGAGCACTCAAGTGAATCTACCGCACATGGCGAATGCCAGGCAAAAGACAGTGGCCAAGATCTTACAGTCGCACGACGAGTACGGCATGCTGGTCGAGGCACCCACTGGACAATTATTCACCTTTGTAGGGAGATCGATGACGTGGTTACAGAACTTGGACAGGACGACTGCAGAGGTATTGATGCAAGCACATCGGCAGCGAACTGGCAGGACAAGTTTTTCAGATAAGTTCCAACACAAAACTCGCATGTCGACGTTGGACGGGGCTGGCAGCAACCCGAGGACAGAGAGAGCAGTTGTCCGTGAGGCGAACGAGCTTGGAGCTGGTTGGATATCGTTTTTGCAGCCGTGCGAAATACACAGGGCCGCAGGCAGTCACAAAAAAAAACCTACTCGATCGTCGAGGACTTGATTTCAGGACAGATTGCATGGGCGAGGTCGCTGAATGACGGCACATCATTTCTGAGGTATGCGAACCACGTCAAGCAGACAGCCAAAAATATGATCATCTTCAAGACGGGGTCCCCGCCTCTTTCTGCATATGCATATCGTCGGCACTTGTTGAGGCTATGCCTCAGTCGAGGCACGAACTGGATTTTCAAGCGGATGGCCTTGTGCTCTCTCCCGAACGGCGACTGGAGGAACAAGGCGCATATTGAGGTCTACTTGCCGACTGGCGTTGCTTATGATGCGGAGAGCCTCAAGGAATCAGTGGCAGAAGCTATTCGGCGATGCATGGTCAACGCTAGATTTACTATCTACCCAAGGCATCGCTGGACTGGCGCCGATGACGCTTTCAATGATTTCTGCTTGCTGGAAGGGTGCCACGGGCTGGCCGCCGCGTCGTGGGCCACGTTCGCGCTCGAGGCGGGGCGTCCTCTTAGGGGTGGACTGCCGACGCACGCTGGTTGCAAGGGGGTTCCATTTCGGGGTACCGCTGGCCGCAAGGCCACTAAGATGCTTTTGGATTCATCTACTGGCGCCGATGGGCCCCCCCGAGGGCTCGACGACAGGCGCCGCCCAGCTCCAGAGGCAGGGGGCGACGAAGCTTGCGATCCCTTGGAGAATCGGCGACAAGAACAAGCTGAACTGAGGAGAAAAGCCAGGGCGTTTCTCGAGAAGGACCCCTTGGTGCCGTCGCTGATCATTCGCCAGGTGTCGGAGCCCCTTGCCTGGCTCCTGCAACATCAGCTGAAGCTGGCTGGCGACGACAGGGATCTCGAGCAGGAAGCCAAGGCGCGGAAGAGAACGACCAGCAGAGACCGACGCGTCAGCAGGACCTTCCCTATCGTGCACGCCGCCAACGGCAATGCTGAGGCGACGTTTCATACCGACATCGGCTACGTAGTATTCCACGCGTTAATGTGGCAAGACTTGATCACCATTCCCAAGCAGACGATGCGAATGCGTTCCCTGGCATACCGCCTGATCTCCAGTGCGGATTTCTGGGTGTAGGAGCCCCTCACTAGCATGCACCAGAGGTTCCCGCACAAGCTGTTCCTGTTGCTTGACGAGGCGAAAGACTTCGACCTCCGCGACGTTCCGCCTTGCATGTTCGACCCGTTCACCGAGCATTTCCTTGCCACCTACCAGGGCGCCCCTGATGGCGGAATCGATTGTGATGAAGCACTGGCATACCTCCTCCTACATGCTCGCCCACTGAAGCTGAACATATCACCCGTTGAAGCGACGCACGCAGCAATCCGAAGGAGGCTATTCACTAAAGGGGTGCAGACGAACGCCGAAGGCCTGCACGAGTTGTCCGCTGAGTACGCGATGGATCGCGTCCGAAGGTTTGGCCGACCGTTCTTGATTCAACAACCACATGTCGCTGAAGGTGCGGGGGCAGATCGACTGAGCCGCGGCGTGAGCAAGCCAACTTCGTCGGGAGCAGGGGGGCCTCGGCGAGCTTGGGTTCGCCAAGAGAGTTTAGGTAAGCACGGCCTCCAAGGCATGTCGGGCTTGTCTCAGCGGCGCCGTGCCCTGCGCCCCGACGAGTCCGCCAAGCTTGTGGACATAGGCAAGTCTGCGACCCATTCAGCCCTCAACCCTTACCACAGAGGAAGCAGCTTCGGCTGCAAAGCCGGGGACCTCACCAGAGCCCAGAACAAAGCAATCCAAACTGGAATGGCGTCGACAACTCTGGGCATTCTTTCTTCAGCAGGCCCTATCGGTATGACAGCATCGTGCGACGCTGCAGTTGCACGCGCGTTGGAGGTGTGCGAGAGTGGGCAGGTCGACCTAATGCAAGCCGTGGCTTTAGCAAAGCGCATCAAACGGGATGCGGATGCCAAGGTAAACCAGTTAAAGTTGTGGACCGCAGGGTGGGTGCATAATGGCGTCACCGATGACATGTTCGAGTGCAACGACCTTCCGCCCTTAGTAAAGCATCCTAGCGTCCTGAACCCCTTGCCGAACGCATTGACTATGGACTTCCGCATGCTCCACCCAACTGAAGGCAGCGTCCAGACAGCCATCAGCATTTCGGCAGCCGCGAAGCAGAGCAACCTGGCATCGGCGCTGTACCAGCAGTGGCGCGAGCTGCACAAGCCCATCATGCACAACGATTGCAAGCCTATCTGCGAGGAGGCCAAGAAGCCTCCCACGATACCGCCATGCTGGCAAGTCGGCCTGTGTCTGTGCGGCAAGAGGGGGCGGAAGACTTCACAGGTGAGGGCTTGGTTCTACGCGGCGCTGAAGCAGGCCACCAGGAAGAACACGCTTGGACGGCAGCTGCTGACTCAGAGACAGTTGGTTGTCA